TCAAAGGAGCGAATGATTTTCATTTGTCCATGTTATCTTCTCATTGGCTGACTGCCGTGGACGAAGGCAAACCGTATGCCCCACTGACAACTGCGACGTCTGTCAAGTATCGCGAGCTGACCCGCCGCATGCGACGGTCACATATAGTACATAAATGGCGACGATAATTTCATGGTAATGAGTAATGATGATGACTTCATATACGGATCGATTTTGGAACGTTGAGGACGTCTTTGAACAGAGTCGTGAAGATTATTCTTAGCCCCTCCCACCATGGCCCGATCCTCGTCCCACTTCAGGGCTTTGGCTCATTATTTCCATTACCTCCAACCACTTTTTTCCCGCTTTTTAGAGCATTTTGAATAGGCTTGGTGCACTTTCGGAATTTGGCTACATTTCTTCCATTACCTTTAACCGCTCTTTTCCACGTTCTAGACCCTTTTTGAACGGAGTCATTGATGCTCGTTCTTAGCCCCGCACACCTCAGTGGAAACCGCGCCCAACGTAGGGATTTGACTACATTTCTCATCACCTCTAACCGCTTGTCCTCCACGTTATAGAACGTTTCTGAACAGAGGTATTAAATTTTCGAAAAAAACCTAACATTGCATGCACGCCCCGCCCAACGGCTTCCATATGTTTACGAATGCCCAACACGCATAAGCCTTGCTCACTCCTTTTTTTCTGCCCTCCCTGCCTCCGTTGAATCGAGTTATGAACTTATGTGGAAAGTACCGCCCATTGCTGGAACGCTCCGCCTACCGCCCATGAGCTTCCTTCATTTCACTGTTTAGCCATTGCTCACTTTTGCTCATTTTTTCCGGCGCCTGGGCTGTTATGAAATTTAATTAAGAAGTCTTGTCCAGGACACCTCCCGCTGCTCCACATGCTCCACCCCTGTGGGCGGCACTCCACTAAGCTCACATGTGCTTTTTTGGTCTTGCCCTATGCTCAGCCCATCCTTCACTTGACTCGATCTCTGCGATTCACGCGTCAATATAATGAGGTCATCTGCAAAGACGCACCATAACATTATGCACACCATCATAATGAGAGAAACAAGAAGTTATAAAACATAAATGGCCAACTATGCACGTTTACAGGCGTTTTGCGTTTTCTAGGATCGAAAAATTTGAAATTATTCTTATTTTTTCAACGTTTGGTAAGTAAATGGTTGATCTGTGAAGTCAATTCTCAATCTCGAAGGGGCTTCATTGCCATAGTAAAGAGATTTGCTCTTTTTCATGGTGAGACCGCGGACTACTGCTAATCTTATTCGGTCGATCTCAACAGAAACAGAACAGTACTGACGATGCTGCGTGTGCAAAGAGCTCTAATAGGGTCACGCGTATATATATATATATATATATATATATATATATATATATATATATATATATATATCTTTGGTCTTTGGTTTTGACGGTTCGAAAAGGAAATCTACTTTGAAAATTTCTCGTCACCAAAGATCACGTCAGAGATGCTGCGCGCCCTCAGATCTACCAGGAGTTTTCTGTATTTTATCAGCTTGCTTTGTTTGAACGCTCCGAAACAATTGTCCTCGACAGAGCCGATAACCATTCAGCTTGAGGTAGCATTTTACAATTTTCTGAACAGATTCTCGGTGCTTACTTGGTGGCAGCCAATCGGCTTCTTCCACCTCTCCAGCCATCTTCCTATCCGAAGCCCAGTATCGTATGCCAGAAGTGATTGGGCACCACGGCAGACTGTCGCCCACCCGTATTAGACGTCTCTACATCGGAACAATAAACAGCCGATCTATTTCAACAGCAGCACGCCAAATCGAACTCGACAACGTCATGGAGAAGATCAAATGCGATATATTATACATACCCGGAGTAACAGAAGCCAGGATACCATGCAGCGGAAGCTATGAATTACCGTCGAGTATGATTCTGTTTTACTCCGGTGGCGAAACTGCCCACTGTGGTATGGCTTTCTTTGTAGGACAACCGCTGGCCCGTGAAGTGAGGTTTACGCCCATAAGCGACAGGCTGGGAAACCTTTATCATCCGTCCCTCAAAGTATTTGTAATTGTCTGTTATGCGCCGGCGTCGTCCAAAGATAAAAACGTTGATTATGAAAATTTTCTGGAGGAAGTAGAGCGCACCTATAGGCGAGTTCTAAAAGGAGTTACTCCTATTATTTTGGGAGACATGTATGCAAAAATGGGAAGGGAAGTAAGAAACGAACAAATCATCGGCAAGTACACTATTGACGCACTGAATGATGGCGGACGCTTACTCACAGACATGTTAACCAAATTAGGATTACGTGCGTAGAACACGTTTTTTCGTAAAAGGAAAGGACGATTATGAACTTGGAGAGGTCCTAATGGAATAGTGCACAACCAGATTAACTTTATTTGCTCTCCTCCATCCACAACCGTTCTTGACTGCGGAGTCATAAAAAATATTTTGTTCCTTTTGATCATCACCTGATTCGAATGCAAATGGCTGTTTGCAATAACGTCGGTCGTACTTCAATTCAACATCGCTCTTCTCTAACCCGGCTTCACCTAGACCATGAGCTGTACGAAGTTCGATCCAATCTCTTTCCTAATCAGCCTTGTTCTCAAAATGCAGAAGAAGCCTACGAAAGTATTCGATTATTTGGAGAGAATGCTGCAGATGGATGCTGGTCCATCCAGATAGACCCCCAAGAATCAGCCTCGGAACCCAAACTCTCCAAAATAATTCATCCTCAGTTGGTCACATCGCATACTCCGCCATTTGCAATGCAGCTAGAATCCTCCCTACTGGAAGATATTCGTAAGCGGAAAAACATAATTGTACAAAATGCGATTGAAAGAGGCAGAAGTATGATTCAAGCGCAGAGAAAAGGAGCCCTTAGAAAAAAAAGACTGCTTATGAAGGACTCAACAACCGAAGAGTTCTCTCAGCGGGCAACAGAAACCGCAATAGTTTCATATTACAACGAACTTTACAGATCAGCCATTACCGTGCCTCTAAGCATACCTTCTTCCTTCAGACCTGCCCTCCCTTTGCATTGATGAATAGGAACATGCTCTTTCCCAACTCCGCCTTAGAATATCTCCCAGCCCTTATAGCATTTCAGCAGAGCAATTAGCTCTCGCAAAACCCACAAATGTCCCTTTGCTTACAGCACTTCTGAACGGTATCAAACGAGGCGCCTCAATTCCAGAAGGATTAGCGACTGCTCAATATGGAAATTTTTGTTCAAAAAGGGATATCCCAATAACGTAAGCAACTCCGACCAATTTCGCTGATATAGGGAGTACTCAAAGCAGTCACGATAGCCATCTTGAATCGCATAGACAGAAAACTATAAGAGTCAGAGAGACCACGTCAAGTCGGATTCCGAAGAAACTACTACTCACCCTGAATCACATTCATGTCCTCAAACAGATTCCCGATAACAGTGCGGAGTGCAATTTTCCAGAAAACTTTGCCCTCGTCGATTACAAAAGAGCTTTGGACAGTTTGGAGTGGTCCGCAGTGCGGACAGTCCAGAACTAATAGATATGCTACGATGACTCTACGAATGTTCGTCCACGCCGTTCTTGTTAACGCTCGACCAGTTATAGTCACCATGCAAAGGGGCATTAAACAAGGAGACACATTGAGCCCGAAACTCTTCAACGTCACCTTACAAGTGGTACTTGATTCTATTGACTGGGAAGAACGCGGGCTAAGTATTGGAGGAAGATTGCTCTCCAGTCCTGAATATGCAGACGACGTTACATTGCTGGATCCTCTCATCCCATGCTCGAGAGGTTGCTGCAGCTTCTTTCAAATGCAACTACTAAGGTCGCACTCCACTTTAACCCAGAGAAGTCAAAACTACTGACAAGTAGTAAAACGTCGAGGCATCCTATATGTATCGACACATCGAATTCGAAGCAGTTGGAATGCCTTCAAAAACTTGAACATATCCTTTGCAACAGAACCCCCTCAAATTGAAAAAGCGAGCATTCGATTCCTTATAACCCCGGCAGTACTCCATGGAGCGGAAACATGGTCGTTACGAAAATCGGATATTAGAAATTTTCGCGTAGCCCAAAGGAATGTGGATAGGAAGATGCTTGGGTTAGTATGCTGGACCGAAGGATGTGAAAGGATAAGAGCACTCATGAAAATCAGTGACTGGACGAACGAGGCTTCAAAGAGAAGACTCGTGTGGGTTAGAAAGATACGTGAAGTGGACGAGAGCCTATGTGCTCGCGTGATTACGGCATGGATTCCATATGACTACATGGACCGAAAAAGGGAGGGCACCCTTATATTCGAAAGCGCGATGAATTGTAGGAGAATATTGGAAAAAACTGGTGGTGTATGACGAAGGAACAGTTCAATCAGGCGACGATACGGCATTCGAATATGAAATGATTTCGTAATAAAGTGTTGAGATCAGAAGCAATCGACTCATGCTGACTCCGTCGTTGCGGGTGATCCTTTTCCTAATGGTGGAACAAATCCTCGGTGTGTTCACTGTTCTCGGTCGTCCACTTTTTATTATAGCATCTTAGAGGTTATCTTCAAGCCCTGAGAACAGCAGAGACATTTCAAACGGTTAAGGAGGGATCACCAGTCGTTTCGCCATGTCACAACTCTTGAAACGTTCCCTGAGCAATTTCTCGATGATGGGTCGATGCGCAGATACTTCCACAGCTATGGTTCGAGCGAACGGTCAATTAAATGACTTATGGGACTTCTTGCACAGCTCCTGTGCTTTCGAATAGTTTCAAAGATTCTAAAGAGGCCCACTGGCAAGGTGCAGACAAGCGCCAAGCCGAGCGCCCTGTACTTCTCAGCCACCTTGTACATTTCGTAGCATTTAGATTCACCCAATCTCCTCCCCTGCATTTGATTTCATGAGAATTTTTCGAAAGCAGCCAAAAATAGCCGAATCCAACCAATTTCACAATCACCATCAACGATAGCTTCAGTGCGAGGTGATTACTAGCCACCTGGTGCCCCCCCCCCCCCCCCCTCACCCGTTCCTCTACTGGGTGAAGTTTGCGTAGCCGACGGGGCGGAGTCCTCTATATAAAGAGTCGATCTGGCGGTTTCCAGCACGTCATGATTCACTATCTGCTTCTCCTGGCGTTGGCCTGCTCGGTCTTAGCCACAGCAGATGCTCAATCTCCTACATTCGAACGAGAAGATCGAGACTATCGCCCACTACAGGTAAGATCTGTTCACTCCGAATATCAGGCACGCGAATTTTCAAAGTTTTCAGCCAACCATTTGAAGGCAATGCGGATACGGGTGGTCTTCTGAAAGTCATGCATCTTAGATGAAATACCTATTCCCTCCCAGTAATTTTTGACTGGTAACAACCTTGTAGAGAGTGCGAATTGTGCCAGTCTCCTCGCTACCCAAGTTGCTATTAACCAACCGCGAATTATCATAAGAAATCTCATCGTAACGGACATGGCCGAAGAAAAAGAAGAGTTTCCCAACCGTGGAAGGGAAGGAGAAGTTAATCCTTCCTGTCGTGTCCCTTTGAAGCATTTTGCTCAACTTCTGACCGAATAGCGAGCTTCTAAGAAAGCGATCAGAATCACATGTTCTCAAGAGGGTTGATTGGTAGCGATTGGTAGCGAAAACATCGTATCTTCGACATAGCACTCTTCCCAGAAGTATTAATCGTGCCTTTTGAAGAGTTGCTTCCCCACGTAATGTACTTGAGCTGCAGCGGAAAGAACATCACACCCTCAGTGTCGTGAGCTATAATAGATCCTACTCCTTGGTGAGCACTTGTCTGAAATGACAACTACGATTCTGACCCATTTTCACTGCTAAACTTTCCGTTTGCTTTCTAGTTGGACCGATGCTGCATTCCGTACGTTTGAAAAAAGTTAAGTTTTGAGATCCTTGCAGGAGAAGCTAAATAAACCTCCTGAATGACGCTCTGTTGACTGTGCGCGTTGATTGGCGACGACAAGAATACTAAACGTTGTCCATCATTTGACGACATCTTTGTTTCCCTCAAGGATTAGTCGCCTACGCATTCGGACATTCGTATTGTGCTAGCATGGAATTCCCAAACTTTTGAATAGGGTTTTTATTCCTATTGGGGCCTTTATAGCAATTTTTCATTACCTTTTAGCTGTGCTTTATGACCGTTGAACTGTTCATGCTCGGCTGATCGCACTTTGACTGCGAAAATAAAATGGGATATTACCTAGCAGTCAGCAAGGTATCTTGAATTTTCCAAACACGTCCGGTACCCAGAAGAGTACCCCTCACTCTCCTTCCAGAATTGCGATGACAACTCGTTCAACAACCTAATTCTTCGACTCGTTCATCAGGTCCGGTTCATTTTCAGCGAAACAATGTATTAATCAGTCATAGGCCCCTCATCTTCGCTACTTTCGATGGTCCTTGAAAGTTTCTGCCCGTAATAGATGGTTCTGGTCGGTTTCCGTGGTTTGAAAGATGATGAGGCGCAGCTTTCCTAGGCCAACTTTACTTTAACTGCTTTGCCGTCTAACAGCCTCGAAGCAATGAATGCCCTTGCCAGTTTTGCGCACACGACAGTTTATCTACAGGCTCTTCTATGAAGTAAAGTGGGCACAAAGCGAGCACAAATAAACTCTTGATTTGGCTTCTGAGCAAATGTAGGTCTCGAGAAGGAGAAGTTTTGCGATTGGTTAGGTTGTGCTTGGCCCTAAACTCTCTGATTCTTTGGATGACATCCTCAAGGAGAACAGCACTTATCACCCTGCCAAATAGAACTCATACTTCGCTAGTACTGAGAACTAGCCATCAGGAGTGGTTCTTTGTATCAAAAGCACCTGCCATCTTTGTCATCGAGCATTACCAGCCCAATGGCCATTTCTGAGTAGGAGGACTGAGATTGTGATGGGGGAAATGCCTTGCTGGCGTACATTAGTAGGTTGGACAGTAAATGGCTACGGAAATCTTAGATCTTTTCAAGTTGTGTGGTTATTTACGATATGGAAGCAACTATCCTGAGCTGCCTTCCTTCTGAGCATGGCGAGGGATTCGGAAGAAATGACTGTGCTGTGGATCGGACTGTGACGACAATGCAGCACTGGGGAAGCCCGACTATTACAGTAACATGAATAGAGTTTCCCTGCGGGAAGTGCATCAGATAAGCCCTTGCCCCAAGCATATGACACTAATAACACGCTAGACATCAAAAAACCCATCGTAAGTCTCAAAACTCCCGCAGCACCCTGCGGGCGTTTTTCTGCGGTTTCTGACTAGCACTTAAATCAAGCTATGACTTTGTGATAATCCATCTCATGAGATTACTTCGCACGTCAATCACACGCGAGGGAGGCGACGAAAGTAGATGGGGCATTCAAATGAAGTAACAAAGGTTATGCTCACGCGGCTCGACACCTCTCATGATTCCTATTCGATCAAGACTAAGTGAGGGATAGGTCTGAAGGCTGACTCGGCTCACCCAAAGAACTTGAGTATAAAATTGGATCTTAATGCTGCTTGAGGTGTTCCGTAGCAGTTATTCTATATCGAGAGGTAGAAAGGCTTTATCGGTCTCGTCGAGCCGCACGGTAGACCTCGGCCTGTGAGAGTTCATATCCCGTTTTGCCAAAATCTTTGAGATTTATATGCGAGGCGAAATTGAAAAAAACTAGCACTTATAGGTGAGCGCCTTACCGTGAAGGAAGTAGCAGAAAAGGCCGATACCGAGAGAAGCACGAGTTGAGGGGTCTTGACCACATTATTTTTATTTGGTCCGATTNATTGGGCTCGGCTCTGGATTTTTCAAGGTCAGCGTGAGCGTGAACTCGCTGGGAGGAGCACTTCCAAAATGCATTCTGGGAAGTTAGTCAATTAAAACAGACCCACGCTCCTAGTTTACCCATGAACACCAATTTTACCCTTCAACTACAGGAATTGCGGAGTAGTGGTGTGAATGCCTTTCACTAAAAAAGGACAGCTAGGGACCATCATTCGATTCTGGTCTTCTCTTGTCATTTACTCGGTTACGAACAACGATCTTGCCGGCCCTCACGGACGTAAATGGTGCTGTTTTTCGTAAGTTGCAGCTTTCCCAAGTGAACATGAACTAGGCTTGCACGAGGCTGCAGGGGTTCCCTGACAACGTCCCTCAAGTGGTCCCTAAAGACGGATTCAGCGGGCATGACATTAAGTAGGGGACAAACAGGAAAATGAAGGACAATACATTGGTTCAAGATTCAGCGATGGAAAAGGAAACAGCAAAAGTGAAGAGCAGTAATCACCCCTCAGCCGTATTCCTTACGATAACATTAATCCTCCTGAATGGGTACCTACATATCTACCACAGGATTGTGCAAATTCGAGAATTACGGAATCCTCCAGCTTCGTCATGCGAGTTTCATTGACCACAGGGGAGCTTTGAGCTAAATTTGTTTCGAATTTGTTTGCAGGACAGCTGCTCCCAGTAAGAGGGGTGGCTCAGGCGGTTCCAGTTGATTGAAATGCGCTAGTGGCAGGCCATAAAGCCCACACGACCAAAACCATCCCAATGGCCAATTAAGTTGGCACTCCACAACACGAGAATTTTGTTTGGTTCTGCAAAGCATTCGATCTCTTCGGGGTCATATTAGTGGTAGTCAATATGTTTGGAGGAATGTACGACATGACTACGTTTTGCTATGCAGCAATAGTTCATTTGTATGCTGCTCACAGTGGGAGCTGAAGGCTGATGCTTGATGTATTTGGAAGGATTTCGTAGGTGGGAACCACTTGACTCCTTGATACTCGAGTGCAGTAGTTACTACTTGGACTCTTTGGCCCTTCACCAAGTCTCATTGTGAAGCCAATGGTTCCTATAATAAGTTTCTGGCCCTCCATAATGTTTAAGCACCTCCGAAACTGAGCATGGCAAGCTCAATATGCACTTCATCCGTCAAGTGTGCCGATTCTAGATGTCAAACTCTCGAATATGAGACCACATGATCGCAAAACGCCATAAATGGCGTCCAAAACCCCCACAATTACTTGGCCCGCACAAAAGCTCTCGAAATTGCTTCGCTAGTCAATCTTCCAAGAGCTCAAAAGTTTTGCAATCATCAACAATACGGCTTAAAAGACCTACACCATGGCAATTGAGAAAGGAGTTCAAAATTCGCTTAATTCCTGGGGGTTGAGAAGTAAGCACACAACACGGCAACTAAAGGGCTAAATGTCCTATGCCCATTCATAGCCTTATGAATAGTATCTCCCCATTGGATTCTAGACTTAGGAGAAAAACCAAATGGTTATGCGTTTTTCGGTTTTTCAAGAGTTTATTAAGTAGCAAGCCTCTTTAAAGTTGTAATACACCATTGAACTCATCCAGCTGTGCAAACTGGAACTCAAGAAAACAGGGATAGATCCACTGCAGAATAGCTAGAGTTATAAGCACACTCTCTGTGCTGAAGATATGCCTATAGTTTTGGAAAACTGTGATAGTGTTAGTAAACAATTTCAATCTGCGGTTAGACCTTAGCAGGGAACTACTGGGACGTTTCCTCATGGTACCAGACCCATCTGGGAAGATCGAAGCACTCTGTTGTCTCACCCCGACTTTCATTATGAGGCAACATACCCTGGTGATGAGCTGGCCACTTTTTCTTTCCTTACAAAACAAATTACATGCTTGCAATGCATTCTGTTCGATTTTCCAGAACAAATGCTGTTCAACCATAAATAGTCCAGTGTTTATTGGGAAGTTTGCTTTGTTCTCGCTTTCAATGTCATATTCTTTAATGGCCGATCAGCTGAGTGTTGAACGGCAACGTGTAATTTACGTAATCGGCGACGGATATGAGACAGTTTGTGCACACCAGGGAAATGGACTGCGGCAATGGTGGTCACCAAACCGAGAAGTGTTCGGGACCATTTGCCAACGAGTCTGGAACTTTGATAAGCGGTTGGCTCCTTCTTTCTTCCTTCATAACGTGACATGCTCCACATGTTGCTCCACAACATTTTGGAGACTGGCCAGCGAATAAAAGGGATTTTGAACAGGAATGGAACAAACCTCTCTCCAAGGATTGGCCGATGCTTTACTAAAACATTTATATTGAAGAGTCAAGCGGTGTCCATTGCAGCCGATTCATTTGGCCCAGTAAGGGAGTGAAAGGGGGAGGTGGTGTAGTGGCAAGTGGAGCATTATTACAAACACGGAGTCAAGGGTTCGAAACCCAGATCGATATGGGCGTTGACCGACCGAGCTTTCCATTCCTCCGGGATCTGTGAATTGGTACCGAAACGTCTAATTGTAAGAGGATGGAAGCACTGACTTGTACATCGGTTGGGCACAGCAAGTCATTCTATAGGCCACGTGAGCGTTCAATACGCCACTACGATTCTGAATGAAATCGGGTTCAAGGGCACCAGACGGCGTTGGTCAACACCCAGTCTTTTATCCTTCGAGGAAGTAAGAAGAGATCAGTCCACTAGGGCACACCGCATACAGATGCTGAGGGCCACACAGCAGAGTTCAATGCAACTTGTAAACAGGTTGATCGCGAAGCTCTTGCTCAGCTCGGAATCGTTTATTAACTGCATCGCTGCCTTCAAAAACTTGGACGAAAGCCTTCTAAAATAGAGGGTATTTATAGAACCCAAGCTTTTTGGTAGAACTCTCTCATACTTCTAGGTGAACGTCTGCCAGATCTTGATAAGCTGAGTTCACTGGCATATTCAGCCCCCATGCAATTATCTTCGTACCGAGTTATAACTCAAAAAAATGACGAGAATTGCGAAGTCAGTTTTTTTGGTGTGTTCCTCGTCACAGGTACTGTACTTTTCATAAAGACTTGCCATCAAAGGAGATTGTCTAACCGAAAAAGGCCTTACCCCTAGAAACCGCATAGGCCCGTTTACGGTACGGTTAGTCCAGTTACGGTCTGCAAACTAGTCGATTTTCGATCCATCAACGTCTTTCATTTGGTACAGCGCTTATTGCGCTTGAATGAGTTGCTGAATACAAGGCCTTACTTGACGACGTCTTTCTAACTTNTTTTATTTGGTCCGATTTATCATAAGAAGTGTTGGGAACAGACCGTAAAACTTTATGTACAAGACCGGTTCTTTGGATCGGTATTCGAGTGGAAATTGAAGAATGGCTCTAGGCTTCGTGAGGATTGGGCTCGGCTCTGGATTTTTCAAGGTCAGCGTGAGCGTGAACTCGCTGGGAGGAGCACTTCCAAAATGCATTCTGGGAAGTTAGTCAATTAAAACAGACCCACGCTCCTAGTTTACCCATGAACACCAATTTTTACCCTTCTACTACAGGAATTACGGAGTAGTGGTTGGAATGTCTTTCACTAAAAAAGGACAGCTAGGGACCATCATTCGATTCTGGTCTTCTCTTGTCATTTACTCGGTTACGAACAACGATCTTGCCGGCCCTCACGGACGTAAATGGTGCTGTTTTTCGTAAGTTGCAGCTTTCCCAAGTGAACATGAACTAGGCTTGCACGAGGCTGCAGGGGTTCCCTGACAACGTCCCTCAAGTGGTCCCTAAAGACGGATTCAGCGGGCATGACATTAAGTAGGGGACAAACAGGAAAATGAAGGACAATACATTGGTTCAAGATTCAGCGATGGAAAAGGAAACAGCAAAAGTGAAGAGCAGTAATCACCCCTCAGCCGTATTCCTTACGATAACATTAATCCTCCTGAATGGGTACCTACATATCTACCACAGGATTGTGCAAATTCGAGAATTACGGAATCCTCCAGCTTCGTCATGCAAGTTTCATTGACCACAGGGGAGCTCTGAGCTAAATTTGTTTCGAATTTGTTTGCAGGNGTATCAAGGGACCTGTGAGGCTCTGAAGGATAGTTAGAACAAGATTTGATTGATCTCGCCTGCTACAGGTGCCATGCAATTACAGTGGATGATAATCTAATGCGACTGTATTTTCTCTAACCTGATGAAGATCATTTCTTGTCAGCCTCCATGGAACCAACCACTGTTCCGATCTGATGAAGTTAGGGATTGAAGGCACAGTTCACGATAATTTTGGGATATCTTGCCTCGGGGGAACAATGAAAAAGATGCAGAAGTGGCTAGGAAAAAAACGGCGCATCCAGAGGACTATTAGGCTTCAAAAAAGAAATCAAGTTAGGGGCTGGACGAGAATGTTACGACAAAAGCTGCATCTAGAGGTATTTGGACGAGCTATTCAGATGTGTGTGTCATTGCGTACAGCCTACAGTAAGCCGCCTGAGTGCAAGGTGGGGTGACGGAACTTATGTGCGTCCGAGGATGCGCGCGGCAAATTGCGCGGCGTAATTCGTGGCGATTTGAACAACTTCAGCGCCTATCATTGGGGTCCAAATTTGAAGTAGAGTAGATTAGTACGATCAGTTGACCCTACTAAACTGCTCTACTTTGAGTTTGTGCCCCAATAATAAGCGCCAGATTCGTTCAAATCGCCACGAATTTGGCCGCGCGCCTCCTCGGACGCACGTAGTGACCGTCCCCCGCCAGGTGTGCCTCCCGGTACAAATGGGGGTCACAAGTTCATCCCCATGGAGGAATCTCAGAAATCATTTCTTTGTGCACCGTGCTATAACAAGGACTAATGAATTGCGAGGCAGTCGATGGAAATCACTCCGATTCAGATTTTTGTCTTCGAACTATGAACGATACTGAACTTTTGCAATTCCCCCAATGGCATACCAGAACTCCGGAAAGATTCACACCTATATATCAATTAGCGTAATAATAACCTTTAAGCAGAATCTGATGCTATACAGCTTTTTGGTTCAACTACACTTTTTGCTCCAACTGCATTTCCAGCTGCACTGAGAGGTTTTTGGAGCGTTCCCTTTTGAGAATGTCATATATTTTCACGAGATCGTAAAGCTTAATAGTGGGCTTTCCAAATTTCGAGCACATTTCAAGAGTAATTGCCATGGAACATAATCGAAAATGAGCGTCAGAATGAGAACGCGAAATATTTGTCATAAATAACATGTCGGGTAAGGATGACAGGACAAAAGGGCAACGCTGTTGGAGCTGGGTTTTTCAGAAACATGCAACAAGCGGGGCTTTCCGCCAGAAAATCTTAAACCTGCTTTTTGAACAGGGATTTATCGAAATGACGGGTAAAGGATAAGGCCTTTGGGTGTTTATCAATCCTGAGGAATGTGTCCCGCATTCGACTTCCATTCAGAATGTAATGGCGTATTGAATGCGTATGTGGCCTATGCAATGGCCTTGCGGTGGCCAGCCGATGATCATGTCAGTGCTTTTATCCTCCCACACGAGTCTGTTACCAATTACCCGATCCGGAGGGATGGAAGGCTTGGTTAACGTAGGCAGTCCGGGATTCGAACCCGTGGCTATTCGTGGGTAATAGTGCGTCACTCGCCTCTACACCACCGCCTGTTTACTATACCCCTAGATAATTTGCAAGTTCACTATCACTACCGTACCATCATCGGGTATTATGTCCTATAAGCAATTCCTCTTCCAAGTGGGGCGTATGATAGAAGAACATCTACATAGGAAGAAGCGAGTGTACTTCTTATTGGTTTTATTCTGAAACACTGCTCAACCTGACGGTTATAATTTCAGTTCGGCAAACGAGATGGATATCGGCCTTTGCAATTTGGCAAACGAGATTACCGACCGTTACAGTTCGGCAAGAGATCACCACTGGCTAGCGGCGCATTTCTTGTGCCCGCTTTGTGATGATACTCCGTGAGGCCTTGGAGGCTCGTTACGACACGTGTGTGATATGTGTTCCCTTGATTTGTACTCACGAATTGTCATAGTATATGAATGTAGCCGTCCGTTTTTAGCAGAGAATCGGCTGAATTCATTTTAATACAGCTTGCTTAATCCTCCCTCCAACTCGACGACCCATCCTCGTATTACCACCAACCTTCACGCCGACCCCTTGTGTCTATTCATTGTATTCATCGATGCGATTGCAAATAAAGGTGTTGTTAGCAGATCTCAAGGGCAATGAATCAAGAAACCGTAAAAGGCTATACACACGACGCAAATGTTAGTACAGGATCAGGACATTCCATAAAATTCTTGGCTTAGAGATCAATGCTCTACGACAGCTCTGGGAGAGGTTAAAGCCAACATTGTGGCTGATAAAAGATTGCCAGAAGTGTGTATTGGAGATATGATGATGCAAGCTAGGAAAATTAATTACGACCGTCATCGAACTGACCAAGAAAGTAAAGTATAGCCTGTTGTGGTTTCGGTATTGAGGAAGAATTTTCCTTTGAATATGCTACAACAGAAGAGTCGAAGGTGCACCTGGTCTCGTCGATACGCAGATAGCCTTAAACATTAATTCGTAACAAAGCTTGACAACCCTTATCGAACGCTTGCTGTTGAGAAGATGAGGCTCAACCCCCTTCCGACAATCTTCCTTGCTTACTCACCAACATCATGCTGCGGAGAAGGCAGCTGAAAAAGTTTCAGCAGACCTAAAAAAGCTTATCAACAAGGACGCACCTTCTTCGAGGTCATGGTCGGTGATTTCAACGACAAGATTGACCCTACAAGGACGACTGAATAGCTACAGATTAGGAGTGAGGAACGGATAGGCATGAGCAGACTTGGAAACTGCCAAACCGTTGAAACAACAGAGATAGTGTTCCAAACGAATGTACACACCATCGTGTTTCATTATATATGTATATATAATATTTATATTATAAAGATTAGGGATGGGTGAGGTTCCAAGTAGCCCACTTCACACACATACGCATAGTCGCAAGTTCGAATCTTGATCGATATCTGCCGAGGCCAAACGAGCTTCCGATCCTTTCAGGGTCGATTAATTCGTACCAGATTCATCTGGGAGGATAAAAGTACGAACTTGTACATTTGCTGATCACCACAAGTCATTATATAGGCCACAGACGCACTCATAACACCACCACTATTCTGAATGGAAGTCAAGTGCAGAAGCGCATCCCTCAGATGGGATCGATGAATGTCTAAAGACTATCCTTTATCCTTTTTTCTTCAATCAACCATTTTACCTAACTGACGTCGCTCTTGTTCCGAAGTTATACACGGAAACGGATTATCGTCTCATCCGCGCTAGATTCTGTTTTTCATTGTGTGGAGAGAGCCATGAAGTTCAGGTAGCGAAGCCCCAAGAACTTTATCAACTGGGACCATTTCGCTTCCCTTGTGAGTTTTTGGGAATGTGCCGTAACACCGACAAAGAATATAACCGGCTCGTCGAATATTTCCGCTAGTGCTCACGATAGCGCTAACTGTAAGATAGCAGAGAGTCAACAAGTAGAAAGGGACGTCCCCCTGTGAAGACTTACGAGTTGATACGCCAGCGTGGAATCGCGCGAGTTGCAGGCAATCATCAAGAAACGTTCGAACTTGCAATACTATGAAGAGAAGCGATAATGAAATGTCTGAAAGAGAGAAGAGTAGCAGTTCTAATCGCCTGATCTTGTTGGGATCACTAGAGCCTTCCATCAGTTCTATTGGCAGCTATCGCCTAACCTGCCTGGGAAGACGGACGTTAGGAACGATCTTGGGTAATCGGTACGCGGCTGTCGCGAACCACTCATTCGCCGTTATTACAGCTCTAGCATTCTTCATACAGCTCAATCGATATGCGATCATTATTTTATGCATAATTC